TCTTCACAAAAACTATCAAAGTTCTTCGAAGTAAACTAACCGCCTCAATCACTTCGTAAAACTTTAATTTTACGATCACTTTTATTTTCTACTATGGCTTTAAATCTCTTTAACACTTTAAACGTCTCTGAATTTTCTTTTAAAAAATATATTCATGTAATCCTTGAATAATCATCAACAAAAATTAAAAAGTACCATTTTTGGCCTTGTGAAGGTGTCTGCATCTTTCCACATATGTCAGTATGTACCAGTTCGAGTGGTGATCGTGCTCGCCAAGATCCTCTAGATGGAAAATATGTTCGATGTTGTTTGCCAAAGATGCATTCTTCACATGTGCTTGATTGTGTTAATAAATAGTAGACCTTGAACCATATTTTTGACTCTTAACAACTTTAGAGCATTATAGTTGATATGACCATATCTTTTATGCCATAAATCTAAGTAGTCAACAACTTTAGTTCATAATGTCATTTCTGAAGCATATTTTATTTGCAGCGAAAAATTTATGGACCTCTCCATATCAACTCTGGCAAGGAGATAATTATTATTTCGCCATTAAAAATTTTGCAACCTCCATCTTCAAAACGAACTGCATAACCATTTTGTAAAAATTATCCGATACTCAGCAAATTATGCTTCAGATCTGGCACTAATAGCACATCTCGAAGAAATTTAGGTCTCATATTAGTCTATACTGCAATACTGTCTTTGCCTTTAGCTTGAACCAGATGACCATTTCCCATGTACCTTGGTTTCGTATGATGCATCTATATCTTTGAATAATTTTTGGTTACCTGTCATGTGGTTTGTGCAACCACTATCCAGATACCAAATATCGTTCTTTTCTTCTATTGCAGTATGACATTTGAAGAAAATGTTTTCAAAATCTTCATTTTCTTTTATGAAATTTGTGCAATCATGAACTTGACTTATACTTTTGCAGTATTTTGCGATATGATCGTGCTGCTTGCATTTGTTATAGTGTTTCTTCTTTCAACATCTCGACATACTATGATTTAATTTCTTACATACATCACACCACATATATGAACTTGACACTGCTTTCCCTTCAGTTTGATTTTGTTGCTTCTCCATATTCTGTCTTCTTTTTTTCTGATAAATTCTTTGATTTGTCAAAGAAGTTTGAGTTCTAAAACTAGTGTTAAAGCACTTTCAACAGAGTTGCTCCCACTTTGTAATTTTCTTGCCTCGTGTGACTCCAACGAACTCATCAATTGTTAAATTGTAAGAGTAGACAAATCTTTCAACTTTTCAATTGCTGTAACAATATATTCATATTTTTCAGGTAAGCTAATTAAAAAATTTTCTACTACCTTTTGATCAGCAATTTCTTCACCAAAATTTCGCATCTGGTTCACGATCTAAATCACTTTCGAGAAATACTCCTTTATTTTTGCGGACTCCTACATTTGTAAATTTTGAAATTGTCTACGCAAGATCTACAACTTCACGGCAATCACCTTTGCAGATCCCTAAAATTCTTCCTGCAATATATCCTACGCTTTTTTTGATCTAATTACACTAATTATCCGAGAGAACAAACTCTCTGCACCACCTTATTGTATGAGAAACAAGGCTCTGACATCCTTCATCTGATCTTCCTCAAACTTCTTTGTTTTTGCTGGTATTAGTTGATGCCCAGCAACAAATTGAGAATAACCATTCTCGACTATATCTCACAACTTTTGTGATCGTACCAACGTTTGCATTTTTATCTTCCATACGTCATAATTTTCACCAAAAAATATGGGAACCATTGTCTTCGCCATACTTGCGCCAACACTTGAAGCCATCAATTGAAAATGTTTCTTCTTTCACGAACATGAATTCACTACTTCACTAATGTCCATTTTTGAACTAGGCTTTAATACTAGTTGTTGGAAATAAACTGAAAATAAGAAGTTGTTACCGATGCAAAAGTATAAAATTTAAGATAACTACATAAATATATTGAAAAGAGAAAATATATTATATTCAATCTGAATGGGATACTCTTACAAAACAATACACAGCTTATATATAGGCAGCAAAAAACCTCCTATTAATTTCCCTATTGATAACCTGCTATTTAATTTTTGTTATTTAATTTTCTGTTTTTTTTATTTTAATTTTTTATAGCTGCTCATTTTAAATTTTTCTGTAACTTACAATTTACTAAAATAAATTAATTCTAACAAGAACAACATCAAATTGGAGAATACCTTCCACGTGCATTTCAGCTTGTTTTCTAATAGTACCTGGACGGTCAAAGGATCCTACAAAAATATCTTAAAAAGTTAAGAACAAACTGCCATTATATCGAGATGTAAATTTGGAACAAGTAAATATTTATAATGAGAGTATACCAATAGCTAAATTTTCCCTCCAGATGTGCTCAATGGTCTTCTTGATCAAGGAGAGTACTGGTTTCCAGTCCTGGCATATAATATAACATAAATACAATATAGAGAGAGAGGGCCAGGGGTTGTCAAAGTTTAAACCTTCCAAACAATTTGTCTGAACAGCATATACAGTAATCGAAGATCTTAAAGATATTAAAAACTCTTTTATAATGAGACTTTACCAGCATTTGCTATCATGTTGCTCTGCTATAAAAGAATTAGTAGCGAACGTGTTTGACCATATACCATGCTTGACGAACATAAATAATATCCTAGACTGTTATATTATCTGAAAATCTAATATGTGATTACCCAATAAATGTTTTAAATGTGCTTATTATCTTCATTATGCTTGCAATTCCTTATGTCTTATAAAAGAATATCCCAGTAGTTTAAACTATAACTACAAGGTTTCTACTTCCTTCTTTGGTGATAGAAAGGTTCCTGCTTGGATAGCTATAATAGTTCATCAAGGTTCCAATCTAATGAAACTATCATATCCTAAATCGAGCACTAAAAAGTTGGCCTTTACCACATCCAGAAAAAGTTTTGCCCTACTTCCACCAGAAGTCGGCATCAATTGTAGAGCGGAAGTGAGAGAAAATATAATTCAAAGTCCTCAAAACACTTGTCAAACTTAGTGCACCTTTGATTTTTAAATAAACTTTCCTTAGCAATACAAAGCAAGATTGTCAAATTAACTTGTGCACCACTGATGTTTAAAATGAATATTCCTTCCCCACGCAAAGCAAGGTTCAACTGCAGCTCTAAGGGAGCAAACCACCAGAACTATTCAAATTTTGGTATGCATGAATTATATCATGATTCACATTAAGAAGAAAACCATTACCTTAAACTCAGCACAAGCCTTTGAAGCTTCAAAACTCAGATCATAGAGGGATTGAGGACAGATCAAATTTAAAATATAGGCAGGAATAGCTTGAGGCCTGCTTCTTTTCCCTTTTAAAGACCCGTCATTACCATTCCATGGGCTCAAACACTCGAAACTAGCAGCCAAGTGATTTAGCAATTTATGAATTGGACCTTTACCAACAAGCCTTGAATTGATATCTGTCAGCATCAAGGTATAAAACCAATGCATGAAAAAACACGCTCTCTTATTCCCTGGTTCCCCCCGGCAAAAAGTTTAGCACGTAAATCAGAATTAAAATAGATGCAGGAACATGGATACAGACATACTGAAAGACCTGCACACAGAGAAAAAAAAAATCTTTTTTTTTAACATGTCCAATGGACATTTCATGACAATGTAAAGAACAGAGAGGTTAGTTATTTCTCACTTTTATTTTTGAGAAATAGTTATTTTTCCCTTTAGCAAAGCAAATCATTCTACCTTGGCAGAAAAAGCATTTGTAGGACCAGATATGCGTCCAGAAAGCTTCAATAAGCCATCACTAGCATTCACTTCCACTAGAGAATTCAAATCCTCAACCCCAAAACCCTTCATCAATAGTGATAATGGAGAGGATGAAGGATGCGTACTCAGAAGCTCCTGATCGCTTAATTTAGTGAACGAATAATATTATAAATAAACCTCAAAAGCAGAAAAAGCACCAAATTAAATATGTCCTGGGATGGCACCTTTCAATATCAACCACATTGAAGGAAACCTTTGAATGTACAAGCGCAATTCGAAGTACGCATTTTTTCACAGAATGTAAGACCTTCTTGGGACTTCAAATTAGTAGTGGCAAAAAAAAACCACAATAAAATCAGTAAAGAGCATTTTGAGTATCCTCTGGTTAAGACAGCTAAGAACTACTTTAACTTAAATTATAAACCTCAAAACATTAAAAAAGAAAAAAAGCTGGGTGGAAAGGGAACCTGGACTGCATATATTTCCTCCGAACTGGTTGGTTATAAAATAAATCACGAACAACAACTGCAAGTAGCCAAGTCATGATTAATGCTAAAACCAAGATGAGTACAAAAAGATTTATCTATAAAAAAGATATTTTAATTTTTGAACAATTTAAATGTTCTCCCAAGCAAGAACATCCAGAACCAACAGCATGCGGAAAGGAAACTAATGGAGAGAAGAAATAATAGGATAAACTAAGCTGATTTTAAAAATAAATAGTTTTTACAAACTTCGAAAATTCACTAGTGCAACATAAATTAATTTAACTGGTTAACCAAAACTGACCACTTTTTATGACCTTCAGAATTTACGACAATAATGCACTTTATACACAGATCTCCTCAGTGGTACATTTTTATAAATAGTAATCTAAAGACACTGGGATCTAAGCACACATGTCATTTTTGAAGTCAATATTTACCTAGATGATGTTTTCCCATTTTAATTTACCATGCTAGTAGAAAATAAATGCAGATTAACTTTTAAAAATCAACTTGTAACATAGACAAAAAATACACAGTACTTCATCCCACAAAATTAGATTAGGCCTCAAAAAAACTTGACCAAAATATATAACATAATTCATTGAATAGATTGTAACAAAAAACACTGAGATTAATCTGTAATAAGGACTGTAGTAGATAATTAGCTCAAGATATATTCCTAACATAATAATGCTTCACTTAAAAGGCAATGATATAGAGCACTCTGTCATAGAGACACAAACATCACAATAAGCATCAAATTTATTCACAATAATGGATATCAATCATATTTACATCATTACTCACACATCAAAATGCATATTCGCTATATTTTAGTACATCCCAAGCTAAATATTTTCTCACTTTCAGGTTACAATAGCATTATGCAATAGAAAACAGAACAGTGGATGGTCAAAAGACAAAGAAATAAACAAATAACATGAACATATCATCAATCTAAGATGTAATTGATGCATTCTCATGAAAGTACCCCCCAAGATAATTTCTCAGTTCTCACCTGTTGTGCCTGCATCTTTTCTGTCATCATCAATCCCAAGATACAAACACTTTGATCCCTGAAAAGCATGGTGGACAATTTAATTACATTCAACTTCACCTGAAAACCAGTGACGCATGAATCAGGATGTGCAGGAAAACAACAGCCAATACCTTCATAATTTTACGGTACCCGTTTGGCTTCCCACTAGCTTTTGTTACAATCTCCAACAATGAGATATCAGAAATAGATGCCAATGATTCTCCCCGGAAGCCAAAAACCCCACAAGTAGCATCCGTATCAGCCAAACTCCAAAGCTTTGATGTAGCTGCTGACACCCGGAAAAACATCACTCGGGTTCATCTTCGTATAACATTCAACTATTGTGCACGCCTCATTTATTCAAGTATGCCACGTGTAATCCTCCCATATACTAATGATATTTAGCTATGCCCATTCCAACTATTGTTATGCAATTGCCCCTAATAATAAACGTTCCTGTTCCTTTTAATCGTATTTAGTGGGACATTAACGATGACAAATGCTCCAAATTTTCTGTAGCTTAATGACGTAAAACATGCTCTAGCATTCAGTAAACTTCTCTTCATGATGCAATTACAGGCAATCAACATAAATACATAGGAAAAACTGACCCATGGTTTAAGCAAACAACACTAACTAACATTTCCAAGTATGTTAATTTTCTTCCTATATGTATGTTCAACAATCATAATTTAGATGAAAAGCAATCCTTGAAAAATAGTAATAATACTACTAGAGACTGCCCTGACATATACTATGCCGGATAAGCAAAAGAAAGTTTTAGAACAACCCGTCTGCATATATCAGCTCCCAGAAAGTTCCATCTAAAAGAACGGACTGAGTGAAAATTTTACATACCATATCTTTCTCCCACAATTGCCAATCCATCTCGAGAAATTCCAGATCCTGAAAACATGTATATAGGATGGAACTCAGTGTGGAAGTAGCACATGCAATGAAATCCACAATTACCTCTAAGGATAGTCCTACATACCATTATCCACCACTTTTACATAGCAGTTACCAACACCTACAAGGACTGATAACTGAAATCAACATATAAATGTAAGTTCACAGACGCTTAACTTTCTTCATCAACAAAGCGTGTCCATCCTTGTATTTTATAGAGCAATAAGATCAAATCAAATGCTAAGAAGGAAACTAAAATCCGGGGGCACTTTATCACCTTTGTTGCACCAGCATCCAGGCTATTAAAAACCAGCTCTTCCACAACCCTGGTCAGATCAGACAAAACAATGCCAGAACGCATAGAATTACGGGCAGCCTCCGGCAAGGGCTTAATGCTCGTCATTTTAGAATTAAGAACTGGAAATATTTAAAAAAGAAATTAAGTCGTTAAGAAGATTTCCACTGATGAACAGTACAAGAAAGAAAAATCGCAAACCATTTTCCTGTGAAATACTTTTCACTTAAATAAATCTTTTATATAAAATCGCCAATAAGAAGTCAGCATTCTTTTTAAAAAAATTAACATTTCGTATCACCTGCACCTGCTCCAAACGCAAAACCCTGGACAAGGAGAAATGCTCTGTCTTGTATAGTCGTATTACTTTCAAAGGAAAAAAGTTGTGCATGCAAATTATAAGACCTTTTTTGCTCTTTGCAACTAAAATGGAAAACGTAAAAAGCTTTGGAATTCCATTCCCTTTTCTTCCCACTTTCTTAGGAACCAAACAAGGAAATGTCCTCGCAAACATTCTCAAAAAAACGAGCAAATATATATGCAGATTATATAGAAAGAAACGTATTTGGTTTAGTTACCAGAGTACGCAAATTTCCCGCTAGGGTTTAAGGTTTTGGCGAGCGTCGACGTGCCATATGTAGAGGAGCAAGTAGAAACAAGTTCAGTTTCCTGGTGCTCTTCTAATTCCCACTGAGACCTGAAAAGAGAAGGCGGTTTCCCAGGACGATGCTAACGTACGCCGCACGCTTAACCTTTACGCTGTAAGCTCTCGAGCAGAGCTGGCGTGGCGAGTTGACATTGAGTGAGCATTTGATTGGTCACACGTGTCGAGAACTTTGTTTCCGGAGCAAAGGTGATTGATTGACACGTGGCGACGTTAATAAAACGTTGTCCAGATAACTTAAATTAAATTAAATAATATCCTCGTTTTTTTTAATTTTGAAGTTTTATCCCGTTAACGGCCGTGACTTTTATTGGCTGGCGGGACATCGCCGATTACCGCCCGTCACCGACGCGCTGGCCGCGGCGAAATAAAGCCACTGAAGAGGAGTTGGGTTTTTGGTTCTTACCAAATTGACATTAATTATTAGTATTATTATTATTATTTAGTAAATTATAATTAATTTTTACTTTATGTGATAATATTTTATATATTTATTAAATCATTTTTATTTAAATATAATACTTTACAGATTTTGCTTAATTAGTTAAATCTTAATTTTTTAATAAAAATTTGATTTTGTTTTTCTATAAGAAATTAAACTGTTATTTATATTTTTTTTATATAAAATAATTATAATTTTTAAAATATTTTTCAAAAAAGTAAATATTTTTTTCTTTAAAAAAAATAAAATTTTCATATAAATGACTTTTTTTATTTGAAGCTGAGAGAGGTAATACAGTAGTGTGATTTGTGTTCTGAGCTTCTAGAATCAGAACCAATCCAAATCTTCTTTTTTTTTTCTGACGTTTAAATTTTATATAAAATTAAAATGGATTTTTACAGTGATAGAAAAAAGAAAATGTTAAGAACTAACAAAAAAATATATAAATAAATAAAACAAGATCTTCTATTCACCACCTGGATTTCTTCCTCTCTCTCTCTCTCTCTCTCCATTTCTCCATCTCTGCGCACAAACCCTAATTTCCAGTTGCCGTTTCTCTATATTCCTCCCTTTCTCTGTTCATCAAACACAGAAAAAACGATCAGGTATTTTTTAACATACAACGCTTTCCTCATAAATGATGGAAATTCAACTCTTTAAGCCAACTCTGTTTTGATTTATGTTCTTGACTATACGTCGTCGGCATGAAGTCCAATCCGATTTGCATAATTCGATTGAATCTAGCTATTTGCATTCTTGATTAACGTTAATTTCGATGTGATTCTCAGTCTTCGGTTGTGAATTTTGTGCTGTCGAGGAATCTGGGAGTTTGAAATACTTGGAGCATGTGATTGTTTTGCATGTGCTGGATTCTGGTTTTGTCTTTTGATATTTTTGCTTATGTCGCTGGTGTGAATTTTAATCATGGTTTTTGGTGTCTGCCGAGAAGGGGAATGAAACTTGAGGCTTGCATTTTAGCTTATCTTATCTGCTTCTATATGATGTTAGATCAAATTACTCTTGTGATCACACATTGATATAGCTGAATTGACGTCTCCTGCTTTATCAGGAATTTAAATGAGTTGAAATAGTGGTATTAGATCATATACTGTTCTATTTCGGGACCTTATCAACGACCAAGGAAGGATCGATCAGTTCTTATTTAATTTAAATAGAATTGATTCGACAAATGTTGGTCTTGAGAGGGAAATAAGAAAAGAAAAATTGAACTTCACTTGCCTTCGATCGGGATTTGCTGAGAGATTTAAATTCCTATTTTGTATTTGGTTATGAATTTTTTTTCTTCCTCGTATGAGTTTAGATATGTTTTGATGCTAAATCTGCTCTTGTCTCTCTTGTTGTAGTGTTAACGGGATTGAACTGGCTGTACCACCCATGTAGAGGTCTATTATCAGTCTATAAGAGCTCAATAGATAGTAGGAAGAGAACATAATGGAGGCTAACGTTTGTGACATTAATCACTTGGATGCTGATGTCCTTCTACCTCCGCGGAAGCGTCTACTTGCTGGATTCAAGAAGCAGACTTCGGATGGGAATGGTGCTCTGAGTCCTGCTGTGCTTGCTTCTTCTACATCTTCTTCTACTTCTTCATCTTGCGAATTTGACACTCATCTTAACATTCTATTGACTTCTCATTTAAACAACCCAAAACATACACCCAAGGAGCTTGTAGAAGCATCAAGATCAGCAGCTGTAGCTGCTGTTCAGGCTGCACAGGATGCAAGAGCTGCTGCTGATGAGAAGGCAGCAATTGCAGCAAAAGCAGTGATTGCAGCTAGGAATGCTTTAGATTTGGTTGCCTCCTTTTCTGAGGAGGGAGTTTCCAAGGAGAGATGCCTGAAAAAGAACAAGCTGAAAAAGCATGTCCCTGTTCAGCTTTTGTATACAAAGCACCAACCTATTGAGAATCATGGGACTGATGAAGAATTAGCTCGTAGGTTGCATCGAGCCATAAATAGCTCCCCTAGAATCTCAAAGCATTCTCCAAATCCTGAATTGAAAGGCCATAAGCATAAGAAGCTTAAGAATTCACCTCCTTATGAAAAAGCTAGCATTTCCGATGTGGGTTTGGTGTTGGAAAGAAGCCCAGCTTCAATGTCTAATGAACATGCTGGTGAAGGAGAGGAGAATTCTGAAAGCTCCAGCCAAGGGGCACGTGCAATTAAAGCAGATGAGAAGGGATCAAAATACGAAAAAGATAACCAATTAGAATTGGACATTGTGGAGGCAGAATCAAGTCACTCGAAGGAGAAAACATGGGAAGAAACAAATTCGCCAGGTAGAAGGAGGGGAAGAGTGAAACTTAAAAAACTGCCATTAAGCATTTGTACCTATAGGGATCAAGGGAATCCTAAGGAAGAGATGGTCGGTAAAAGCTCTCTTTTGACTCAAAAGAACACAAGCAAACCCACTGCTACTGGTATTCCCTTGTTTTCCCTGCAGCCTTCTACTGATGGTGCACTTCCAATTGAGGCAACACCGACATGGAAATGCCAGGAGTTCAAGGCTCCAGCATGTATCAAGCAAAATAAAGTAATGCAGTCATAATCTTCCACCATATCACAGCAACAGGTGCCTCATGGTTGAAGTTGATAGCAGAGGTAGGACTTGTGATGGTCTTTTTTATAGGACCGGCTTCATTTGATTTATCTTTTTTCTGCTTACCGTGGTTTTGTAATGGAAGTTAAACTGACAAAATTGTATATTTTTAAACGTTTAATTGCCTGCATCCATACTTCATATTTCAAGTAGCCCATTGCTTGAAATTGGAACAAAGGTTGGAGTTTCGACTGACAGAGGGATGCAGTGCATTAGGTGCTACCTTGCTGTTTCCAGCATATTCACCCTGCTCTTTAAGCAGCTGGAATATGTACAAAAATAATGTAGTCCTTTGGGTTTGTGTTTTGATAAATTGATTTTTTAGCTCTTGTTCGTGCTTATGTTGAAACTCAAGCTGCTAGCTGTACGGGAATTGAAACAGTGCTTAATAGAAACACAAAGGAGTCTTCCTTCCTTGATATAAAATTCTTAGTAGGAATGCAGGCTTATTTAACATTTAAAATGAATGGACTGAAACAATTTTCTGTCTTCCATAGCTTGTGTATTGAGAATCCGAGCTGTAGCCATTTCTCGATTTATTCTACCCTTTGCTCCACATAATTCTTTCCTCCCATGGGAAATAATGGCATTTGAATTTCAGCTTTCTGTTTTTCTTGTTTTCTTTCTGTCTGTTACTTTACTATTAAGTGATTCTTGATTGTTTCATTTGTTTATAGCCATAGTTTTTTCTTGGAAAAAATTTGTGTTTATAACCACAGTTACAACTTGTAACATGAGCTGGTATCATGGTGAAATGTTTTGTGAGAATGGTAAACAGGTTGTCTCTCAGGAGTTGGCAATGTGGAGTTGATGATGCCGGAGTGGCTGATAATAATAGAAGATGTATATGTAATTGATCCCTGTATCGGTGACTGGTCGCTTTTTGTACGGCTCTGTTGCAGATGAGGCTTTTGTCACGTAGAAGGTTAGTGTGTTACAATGGCTGGCTGGCTATTCGCATTTACTTCGGCTTAAACAAGGTGGAATCCAATCATGTTGAGAAAATGCAAGAAAATTGTTTGGAGATTAGACTTTGAAGAACAAAAATGGTTGTGCGGGTATAAACTAACTGGTAAATTACAGTTTCTATACAGTTTGTAATTTGAATTTTATGATTTTTATACGGTTTTTTCTTTCAAGATTATTATTTTTCTAAGTAATATTTTTCTTGAAAGTTGAATAAAATTTTTTTTTGTAAAACGATAAAGATTTAAAACACAATACATAACACGAAATTCTACATATGGGTGGTGATGTTGCAGGAGGATGATTAAGGTTTGGTAATCGTTCCGGTATCTAATCTTTTCAAGTTTGGCACAATTTACTTTCTTAATATTATTTTTTCATTTGTTTGGATGGGGTTTGGGTGATCCCATACTCAAATGTTTTAGGCTGTTTCCTAAAATAATAAAATGACTAATAGTAATGGTAAGTAAATATATGAACTTCTAACTTCTAATTCTTATGAAATAAAAAATAACAAATAAAATATATAAAAATAATATTTTAGTTCAAAGTTTTATAATTGTTTTTCAAGTAATACACTTTTGTGAAATATTTAAAAGTTTAAGTTTATGGTTTTATAATTGAAAATATGATTAAAGTTGATTTTATCATACATTAAATGATTAAAATATGGTTAATTTTTATATATCAAATAATTAAAATATTTATGTAACGACTCCGGAAATATTAAAATGAAATGAGTATTTAAATATATCAAATGCGGAAGCGAGATCGAAATTTCAGTTAACATCCCTTACACGAAAACCAAAAACGTACTTAAAATATAAAAGGTTAAACTAACTAAAAGAGAAACTCGAAAATAAAGCTATGAGTATGACTACAGAGTCTCTAGGCATCCCTTTCGTCGTCCTCCTGCGGAACGGACTCGGGAACCATGTCTTCTTGATCTGAAATGGTTAAATAAGGAGTGAACTACACTAGCCCAGTAAGAACATCACGATATCTCACCGTCACGGAGGTAAAGGTGGGTAGAAAACACAAAGGACCCATGGAGCATGTTTTACAATAAATCCTTTTATTTATGATAAAACCTTTACCATCCACTTACCTCGGTGGAATTTATGAAACATATAAGAAAACAATAACATTATCATAATCATGGAATAATATAAGCTGTAAAACATAACACTTATCACGCCTCTTGTAA